GGTCAGCACTGAGGGAACGCCGCACTGTCAGAGGGTCAGCGCTGAGGAAGCGCCGCACTGTCAGAAGATCTCGGCCGAGGGAGCGCCGTGCTGTTGGAGCATCTGTGCTGAGAGAGCACCGCACTCTCAGAGGGTCAGCGCTGAGGGAGTGCCACACTGTCGGAGGGTCAGCGCTGAGGGAACACCGCACTGTCGGAGGGTCAGCACTGAGGGAGCACCGCACTGTCGGAGGGTCAGTGCTGAGGGAGCGCTGCACTGTCGGAGGGTCAGTGCTGAGGGAGCGCTGCACTGTCGGAGGGTCAGTGTTGAGGGAGTGGGCACTGTCGGAGTGTCAGTGCTGAGGGTGTGCGCAATGTCGGAGGGTCAGTTCTGAGGGAGCGCTGGACAGTTGGATGATCAGTGCTGAGGGAATGTCGCACTGTCAGAGGGTCAGTGTTGAGGGAGTGCCACACTGTTGGACGGTCTGTACTGAGGGAGCGCCGTACTGTTGGAGGGTCAGTGCTGAGGGTGTGCACACTGTTGCAGGGTCAGTGTTAAGGGATCACCGCACTGTCGCAGGGTCAGTGCTGACGGAGCGCCGCACTGTCGGAGGATCTGTGCCGAGGGAGCGCCATGCTGTTGGAGGATCTATGCTGAGAGAGCACCGCACTGTCAGAAGTTCAGCGCTGAGGGAGCGCCGCACTGTTGGAGGGTCAGTGCTGAGAAAGCGCCACACTGTCGGAGGGTCAGCGCTGAGGGAGTGCCGCACTGTCGGAGGGTCGGTGCTGAGAAAGCGCCACACTGTTGGAGTGTCAGCGCTGAGGGAGCGCCACATTGTCGGAGGGTCAGCACTGAGGGAGCACCGCACTGTTGGAGGGTCAGTGCTGAGAGAGCACCGCACTGTCGGAGTGTCAGCGCTGAGGGAGCGCCACACTGTCGGAGGGTCAGCACTGAGGGAGCACCGCACTGTCGGAGGGTCAGTGCTGAGGGAGTGCCACAGTGTCAGAAATGTCACATTGTGAATTAGATGCTGAATGCAGGCTTGACACTTAGGTGGTTGCAGGAAATGTGTTCTGAGACACGACGGAGCAGTTGGGATCATACTGACTTGAGGATGGAAGAATGAGGATGCACGTCTCACGGTAAACACAGGAAGGATATTCCCAATGATGGAGGGCAGGGTAGCAGGGGGAGTCCAGAACCAGGCATTGACAGTCCAAAGGAGATGGAGTAGCACTGAGATGAGGACAAATGTCTTCACCCAGAGAGTGGGGATCTTGTGGAATTCTCTGCCACAGAAAGCAGCCTGACAAAAATGTCATGTTTTCTAGAAAGCATTAAATACAGTTCTTCGGGCTGGAGGGACCAAAGTGTATGGGTTAAGGTGAAAATAGGTGATTGAGTTTGATGATCAGCCATGATCACATCGACAGGCAGAGCAGGCTCGCTGGGCCAACTGGCCTAATCCTGTTCATACCTTCCATGCTTCCATTTTGTAGAGAGAGCTTTACTCTGTATCTAACCCCGTGCTATGCCTGTCCTGGGGAGTGTTTGATGGGGACAGTGTAGCGGCAGCTTTACTCTGTATCTAACTCAATGCTGTCCCTGACCAGGAGCATTTGATGGTGGACAGTGTTGAGAGAGCTTTACTCTCTCACTAACCCCATGCTGTCCCTGGTTTGGGATTGTTTGACCGGGGTCACTGTAGAGATGCCTCAGCACTTGCAGTGAACACTAAAGGGGCGGTTTCTACCTCCATCTCTCTCTCTGCCCTTGTGTCTCTCCCTCATTCTCTCCCCCTCTCTCCTCCCTCCTGCTCCCTCTCTCCGCTTCTCTCTCCTCCTCTCACTCTCTCTCTCCTTCCCCTGTCTGTCCCTTCTCCTTCTCAATCACTCTCGCGCCCCCCTCTACCTCTGTGTCACTTTGTCTCCCTCTCTCTCTCTTCCACTCTCTCTATCTCTCTCTTCTCCTTGCCTCTCTGTCTAGCCCTTCTCCCTCTCTGTCTGTCTTTCTCCCCCTCTCACTCACCGTCTCTCCTTCTCGTTCTCCCTCTCTGTCTCTCTCTCTCCCTCTCACTCACCCTCCCTCTCTGTCTCTCCTTCTCGCTCTCCCTCTCTTACCCTCTCTGTCTCTCTCTCTCTTCCCCTTTCCCTTTTGCTCTGTCTTGTCTCCCTCTCTCTCCCTCTCTCTCTCTCTCTCACTCTCTCTCATTATGTCTTTCTTACCTATTTCAAATATGTTTGTCATCCAGAGCAGCGTTAACAGAACGTAAGCGTAGGAACCAGCGTTGTAGTTCATGTGTACATTTCTGGGCCTGAAAATAAGACATTTTTCGACAGGTTGTGCTTCAAAACATTGGAAAGTGGATCAAGCATAGGCTTCTCCTACTGTCAGGACATGGATCAGGTTTCAACCCCATGACCCTTTATCTGCCAAGCCCTCCACCCCCGCACCCATCACACTCAGTTCCTTTATCTGCCATAAAAATACTTCCCACGTCTCAGGAATGGATGCACAGCAAGATCCCACACACATCGACACGGCCGTGAGCAGGTATTTCTTTTGGATGGGGATGTTGATCACAGATTGCATTTTGGAACGTGCCAACCTTTACGGGCCATGCTGTCTCAGGGCCAACGTGCAGGTCTGACCAGACCGAGATGGGTGAGAATGGCATTGCCTGCAGGAGGCACTCACGGTGGGAAAACAATGGGGAAAATCTGAAGGTTAACAAGACCCAACCCCTCTTGGATCTGGTTCAAGGGACAAGAAAATGATTGGAAAGATGTTGCTTGCAATTGAAGGCAGTCAGATCAGCTACGATCTCATTGACTGTTGGAGCAGAGGTGATGGGCTGAAGGGCCCATTTCTACTTCTGCATCTTATGGTAGTGTCCCAGAATTCCCTTAATTGGGAATAATCCAGGGTTTGAGGAAGACCAGGTCTTATTTTCCATTCATTCACAGATGTGAGCATCGGTGGCTGGGTCCAGCATTTATTACCCATCCCTAATTGCCCTGAGGGCAGTTAAGAGTCAAACCCATTGCTGTGGGTCTGGAATCATGTGTGGGCCAGACTGGGTAAGATTGGCAGATTTCCTTCCCTAAAGGACATTAGTGAACCAGATAGAATTTTCCCAAACACAGAAGGAATGGTTAGTAAGTTTGCAGATGACACCAATGGGTGGCATGGTGGCTCAGCGGCTCAGTGGTTAGCACTGCTGCCTCACAGTGCCAGGGACCCGGGTTCAGTTCTGCCCTTGGGTGGCTGTCTGTATGGAGTTTGCATATTCTCCCTGTGTCTGCGTGGGTTTCCTCCCATAGTCCAAAGATGTGCAGGCTATGTGGGTTGGTCATGCTTAATTGCCCATAGTGTTCAGGAATGTGTAGATTAGGGGGATTGGTCTGGGTGGGATACTGTGTGGACTTGTTGGGCCGAAGGGTCTGTTTCCAATCTGTAAAGATTTTATGATACCAATATTGGAGGTGCAGTAGACAAACAAAAAAGGTTAACTCAGAGTATAAAAGGACTTTGATTGGATGGGCCAAGGAGTGGCACATGATGTTGAATTTACGTAAATGTGAGATGCTGCGCACTGCTGAGGCAAACCAGGGCAAGATTTATACACTTAATGGTAGGGCCCTGGGGAGTGTTGCCAAACAAAGAGACCTTGGAGTGCAGGTTCATGGTTCCCTAAAAGTGGAGTCAGAGGCAGACAGGGTAGTGATGAAGGCATTTGGTGCGCACAACTTTATTGGTCAGTGCATTAAATGTAGGAGTTGGAAGGTCATGTACAGGACATTGGTTAGGCCACTTTTGGAATACAGTGTTCAATTCTAGTCTCTCTGCTATCGCAAGGATGTTGTTAAACATGAAAGGATGCAGAAAAGATTTACAAGGATGTTGCCGGGATGGAAGGATTTGACATATAGAGAGAGGATGAATAGGCTCGAGCTATTTTCCCTGGAGCGCCGGAGGCCGAGGGATTATGAGGGGCACAGATAGAGTGAATAACCAAGGTTTTTCCCCCAGGGTAGGGAAGTCCAAAACTAGAGGGCATAGGTTTAAGGTGAGAGGGGAAAGATTTAAAAGAGACCTATGGGGGAACTTTCTCATGCAGTGAGTCATGCGTGTATGGAGAGAGCTGCCAAAGGAGGTGGTGGAGGCTGGTACAGTTACAACATTTAAAAGGCATCTGGATGGGTACATGAACAGGAAGGGATTAGAGGGATACAGACCAAATAGGACTAAATAAATTTAGGCTATCTGGTCAGCATGGACGAGTTGGACTGAAGGGTCTGTTTCTATGCTGTACAACTCTATGACTCTAACAATTGCCAGTTGTTATCATTGATCTCTTAAATTGCAGAGATTTTTTTAAAATTGAATTCAAATTCTACCATCTGCTGCAGCAGGATTTGAACTCAGGGCCACAGAACATTAGCTTTATCTTTGGATTAATAGGTCTAGACAATACCACTCAGTCATCATTGCAGGGAATGGTTGAGGACTCTGGATCTGTACTTGATGGAGTTTAGAAGGATAGGGGCAGGTATCTGATTGAAACTTACAGAATACCGAGAGGCCTGGATAGAGTTGACGTGGAGAAGATGTGTCCATTCGTAGAGAGAGACGAGGACCCAAGGACAGCCTCAGAGTGAAGGGATGAACTGAGGTGAGGAGGAATTTCTTCAGCCAAAGGTGGGGGGTGAATCTGTGGAACTCATTGCCACAGAGGGCTGTGGAGGCCAACTCATTGAGTGTCTTTAAGACAGAGAGATAGGTTCTTGATTAGTGAGGGGGTCAAGGGTTACAGGGAGAAGGGATTGAGAAACATATCAGCCATGATGGAATGGTAGAGCAGACTCGATGGGGCAAATGGCCTAATTCTGCTCCTATATCTTATGGTCTCCCACCCCAAAGTGGCACACTGGAGAAACTGGGACCTGTTGCTGAGGAGAAGACAATTGACCAGGGATTTAGACCAACGGCCAACAGGGAGGGTGCAGGCAGTATCTAGGGAGACCAGACCCAGAGAAACCGTTCACACTGGAGGGAGGATTGAGAACCAGAGGCCACAACATTTATGAGGGAGGCAAAGCAGAAGTTACAAAAGGCTAAAACCTCACCGTGCAACAAGGGGGCATAGGGATAGGGTATGAATGGCCTCAAAGTGTGGCCGGGCAGGAGGCTTTCAGTCAGGGGGTGGAGACTTGCCTGAGGACACAGCGTTCCAGGAAAAGGGCGACGAAATAGCGGAGGTGAACTTAGAGACAGCTAATCCAGACAGGACAGGTCGAAAGACCTCCATCAGTACAAAGAACATCAGGCCCTTTGGCCCACCAAGCCTGTGCTAAAACTTGACATCTTTTTTGAGTCATAGAGTCATACAGCGTGGAAACAGACCCTTCATCCCAAGCAGTCTGTGCCAACTATAATCCCAAACTAAACTAGTCCCACCTGTCTGCTCCTGGCCCATATCCCTCCAAGCCTTTCATATTTGTGTAATTGTCCAAATGTTTTTTAAATGTTCTAACTGTAACCACATCCACCACTTCCTCAGAAAGTTCATTCCACATGCGAACCACCATCTATGTAAAAATTTGCCCCTCATGTCTTTTTTAAACATCTGTCCTCTCACCATAAGAATGCGCCCCCAGTCTTGAAATACTCCACCCTCGGGAAAAGGCACCTGCCATTCACCTTATCTATACCCCTCATTATTTCATAAATCTCTATAAGGTCACCTCTCAACCTCCTACGCTCCAGTGAAAAAAGTCCCAGCCTATCCATCTTCTCCTTATAATTCAAACACTCCATTCCTGGCAACATTCTGGTAAAGGTCTTCTGAATCCTCTCCAGTTTAATCATTTCCTTCCTACAACTCAGAGAGTAGTAAGGATGTGGAATGACCTGCCTGCAAAAATAATAGACTCGCCAACTTTAAGGGCATTTAAATGGTCATTGGATAAACATATGGACGATAATGGAATAGTTTAGGTTAGATGGGCTTCAGATTGGTTTCACAGGTCGGCGCAACATCGAGGGCCGAAGGGCTGTGCTGCGCTGTAATGTTCTATGTTCTATGTTCTATGTACAACAGGGCATCCAGAACTGGACACAGTACTCCAGGAGAGGCCTCACCAACATCCTGTACAACCTCAATGTAAAGTCCCAACTCCTATACTCAAAGGTCTGAGCAATGAAGGCAAGTGTGCTAAATGCCTCTTAACCACCATATCCACATGTGACCAAAACTTCAAAGAATTATGTACCTGAACCCCTAGGTCTCTCTGTTCTACAGCACTACCCAAGGCTTAGTTTGTAAACTGAAAACCTTTTGCTTCTGTATCACTTTGTTCATATATCTGTAAAAAAAAATTTTTCATTCATTCATGGGATGAGGGCATTGCTGGCTAGCCCAGCATTTATTGCCCATCCCTAATTGCCCCAGAGGGCAGTTCAGAGTCGACCACATTGCTGTGGGAGTGGAGTCACATGTAGGCCAGACCAGGTAAGGATGGCAGTTTCCTTCCCTAAAGGGCATTATAATGAACCCGATAGGTTTTTTGAACAATGGATTCATGGTCATCATTAGTCTCTTAATTACCAGTTTTGTTTTAATTGAATTCAAATTCCATCATCAACCCCCAGGTTTCTCAAACATTCGCTGTGTCTCTGGATTAAACAGTCCGGCGATAACATAACTGGGCCATCGCCTCCCCACGCTGCTTCTGAAATGTTATATCTGTCTTCGCCACCTCCTCTGGCAGCACATTACAGAAGGTTATAAAAGCAGAGAGCTTCGTTCTGCTCTGAACCCAAGCCTTTCCTTTGCGGAGATTAAAACTGCATGAGGTCAGAACAACGTGCTCTGCAAGGTAGTCTGCAGCCTCCGAGTTACAAATGATCCAGTATTCTTTTCAAGGCACAAAGCTTGTGCCCCTGAGATACAGCGGATTTCTGCGTTAATAATTACTGAACAATAGACAGTGTTTCCCCTCTGTATAACAGAACTGCTCTACCAGCAGACATTAATCTTTGTCTCCCTTATGTGTGTGTGTTAAGTCACTTCACTCACTCATACATCCCCCCCACCTCCCCACGATACGTTCCTTATCCATCCACCCCTTTACTGTTACATCGCTCTTGTCGATCAAGGTTAGTTTGTCCTTTCAGATGCCCCAGCACAGATGCCTTTACTTTTGTGCAGTCTCTGATGATCACTGTCCCAAAACAGTTCAGCAGCGCAGGTATCATTCTGGAGCCTATGCAAAGAAGCACTTACCACGAGGGCTTACACAGAGAGAAGAGGGTTGTAAAACTTGACTTATACAGGATGTGACTCATCACTTTTATTTTGCAACACTTCCGGCCGGTCTTATCGTTGATAACAAGGTGTAAAGTTCGATGAACACAGCAAGCCAAGCAGCATTAGAGGAGCAGGAAAGCTGATGTTTCAGGCCTAGACCCTTCTTCAGAAAAAAGGTCTTATGGTTGGACTGTTAAACCAGAGACACAGAGAATGTCTGAGAAACCTGGGTCTGAATCCCGCTACGGCAGATGGAGGAATTTGAATTCAATTAAAAAAAACTGGTAATTAGAACATAAGAACATAAGAACTAGGAGCAGGAGTAGGCCATCTGGCCCTTCGAGCCTGCTCTGCCATTCAATTAAGAGTCTAATGATGACCGTAAATCCAGTGTTGGAAAAACCTATCTGGTTCACTATTAAATAAAAACCGAAAGAACTGCGGATGCTGTAAATCAGGAACAAAAACAAAGTTGCTGGAAAAGTTCAGAGATAGTAGGAACTGCAGATGCTGGAGAATCTGAGATAACAAGGTGTATCTTCTCCTCTATCCATCTTCTATCCGCCTCCCCCTCTCTCCCTATTTATTTCAGAACCCCCTTCCCCTCCCTCATTTCTGAAGAAGGGTCTAGGCCCGAAACGTCAGCTTTCCTGCTCCTCTGATGCTGCTTGGCCTGCTGTGTTCATCCAGCTCTACACCTTGTTATCTCTTATGCTGGAAAAGTTCAGCAGGTCTGGCAGCATCTGTGAAGGAGAAAACAGAGTTAACATTTCGGGTCCGGTGACCCGTTCCGCTGGCAAAAAAGACCCTGAACTACCTGTTGCCTGCCACTTTAACGCACCACCCTGCTCCCTGGCCAACATCTCTGTCTCTGGCTTGCTGCAGTGTTCCAGTGAAGCCCAACGCAAGAGGAACAACACCTCTTTCCGCTTGGGGATGCTACAGCCTTCCGGACTCAATATTGAGTTCAATAATTTTAGGGCCTAAACTCTGTCGTGTCCCAGCCCCCCACCCCACACACCAGGCCTTGTTACTACATAGCCTGCCATTACACACCCCCTGTTGTTAGTCACTAACAGTCCCCATTAACAACTGCTCACCCTCCCAGCCTGATTGTTAGCAACTCCTTTGTCTGTCCAACTGTCTTTCTCTCTCTTTGGGCTCTATCCCATCGTTTACTCCCTAACCCACCCACCTCCCTATTTTCTGCATATAAACTGACGTTTTGCCAGCACCATCAGTTCTGAGGAAGGGTCACCGGACCCGAAACGTTAACTCTGTTTTCTCCTTCACAGATGCTGCCAGACCTGCTGAGCTTTTCTAGCAACTTTGTTTTTGTTCCATCTGGTTCACTAATGTCCTTCATTGAAGGAAACTGCCATCCTTACCTGGTCTGGCCTACATCTGAGTCCAGACCAACAGCAATGTGGTTGACTCTGAGCTGCCCTCTGGGCAATTAGGAATGTGCAATAAATGCTGCCTAGCCAGCGACACCCTCATCCCATGAATAAATAAAAAAAAATCTTTACAGTTATGTGAATAAAGGGACGCAGAGGCAAAAGGTTTTCAGTTTACAAGCAAAGCCTCGGATAGTCATATATAATGTGGAGGTGCCGGTGTTGGACTGGGGTGCACAAGGTCAGAAATCACACGACACCAGCTTATAGTCCAACAGGGATATTTGAAAACACAAGCTTTCAGAGCTTCACTCCTTCTTCAGGTGTTCATGAGAGAGGAGGTATTAGACACAGAATTTATAAGTACAAGATCAAGGTTCACACCACTGATGAGGATGTATTAAACAAACCTCAGATGTGGTTAAATCTTTAATCAGTTGGAAGGTTTTCATTGATTAATATGTATATATAAATCCGTGAATTCCTTTCAAGTCACTGTCCCGAGAGAACTAAAGGTTTTATCAGTGAAAAGAGGAGGTGACATTTTAGGTCAGACAATGCATGTTAGCTGTTTTGGTTTGGAGTCAGACTGGTTTTATTTCTAAAGTAGGAAGTTATAAAAGACCACATTGACTGATTGTCCATAGATTGTGTGTTTCTGGAACAAAATAAATGTATCTGCAAATACAAATTCACCCCATAGATTTGTATGTGTGTGTGCGTAAGAGAGAGAGAGAGAGAGAGAGTGTGTGTGTGTGTGTGTGTGTGTGTGTGTGTGTGTGTGTGAGAAGAGTCTGTGTGTGTGTCGGTGGGGGGAGAGTGAGTGTGTGTGTTTTTGTGTGTGTGCGTGTCTGTGAGAGGTTGGGGAGAGAGTGTGTGGAGGGGAGAGAGAGAGAAAGAGTGTGTGTGTGTGTTTGTGTGTGTGTGTGTGTGTAGAGGGGAGAGAGGGAGAGAGTGAGTGGGTGAGAGTGTGTGTGTGTGTGTGTCTGTGAGAGGGTTGGGAGAGTGTGTGTGTGGACGGGAGAGAGTGAGTGAGTGTATGTATGTGAGAGAGAGGGGGTTATTCTGATATGCAATTAGACAATGAAGGCATGTAAGGTTGTGGACCAAGTGCAGACTCAATGGGCTGAAGGGTCTTTTTTCTGTGCTGTGGATGTCTATGAATATATCACACACACGCTCTCACACTCTCACACGCACACACACACACAGATACACATGCTGTCTCTCTCACACACACACACAAATATTCACACACACACACTCTCACACATTCACACACACTCTCACATATACACACACACACACTCTCAGATATTCACACACACGCACACGCTCTCATACACTCTCCCTCACATACACAGATACACATGCTTTCTCACACACTCAGAGACACACACTCTCACCCACACACACAGATACACACACAAGCACTCACACATTCACACACACATGGCACACACAGATACACACAAACAAACACTCACATTCACACACACACACACACGCACACACACACACACACACACACACACAGTCTCACGCACGCACACACACACAGATGCATACGCTCTCAGCTACACACAAACACAGACACACACACAGATACACACAAACACAACCACAGACACATCCTTTCATACACCACCACCACCTCCCGCCTCCCCCC